AGTCTAATATATATGGATAAAATAAATAAGTCTTAATTCATTGGGCTAAAGTGATTAGCCCACTTCCTTAAGCTCAAGATGTCATCTTCCTAGAGGCCCAGTTTGGTACCACGTGTCAAATGATGTGGCACGCCAAGTCAAACGAAAGATCCAATAGGATCGTGCCACGTGTCAAAATGACAAAGCATGCCAAGCCAAATTAAAAGACCAATGAAACTGTGTCACGTGTGCAAGTGACATGTTCTGACCAATCAAATGCGGCCTTGTCACACTTCAATTTGATTGGTCGGAAAAAATTTGTTCTTATCATAACTCTTCCCTTCCACAACTATAAATAGGGGTCTTCATAACTCAGAAAAGACACCAGAAGTTATAACAAGAAGCAAGAAAGAGCTCGTGGATCAAACGCTACAAATTCCTCCATAAGTTTCAAGCTTCAATCATTCAAGTTCAAGTTCAACAAATCGAGTTCAAGCTCAAGAACGAATAACAAATCAAGTTCAAGCTCAAGAACGAAGAACAAATCAAGATTCAAGGAGTACGAGTTCAAATCAAAGTTCGTGCTAGTTGAATTCAAGATCATCGTTCGTGACAACAAATATAGGTTCAAGATCAAGCTCAAAGGCGCTTGAATTTATTTACTATTGAAAAGAAAAATCAGAGGGATCATACAGATTGTGACACTCAAATATTTGAAATCAAATACTACGATTGTTGCGATATTTTTCGGTCTTGACTTTATTTTCTCGATGCAATTTATTGTCCACAAATTCTGGCACGCCCAATGGGACAATCTCTACCTCTCATCTCAACTTTTCAATCACCAAAGTTCAAGAACATTGAAATGGCTTCAAAGAAAATCAATTTCACTTCAACTTCCACCAAAGATGCTAATTCCAGGTTCTATGCTGATATGGAAAGCATCCTTGATGTTACTTTTGGAAGCTTTGGACCATTTACGAGGAGTAAAGCAAGCTCGTTAGGACAACAAGCACCCCAAGTGTTGTCCGCCTCAATCCCTGTTTTCGGATCTTCATCCTCAAAAGGAGAAGGATCTTCCACAAACGCACCTGAAGAAGGAAGCGATGTTGCTGAAAAGATCAAGAAAACTCTTGTTGTGCTTGACCTCTCCGGATCCAAGCACTCTGATGTGAAGGAAAGTGAGGATGCTCCAAGTGATGGATCCTCCCCACTTACACCACATAGCGTGAGCCAATCGAGGATCAATCTGTGTGACCATCCATGCTACTCTCCATCGTCCACGACAATCATGCAAGCCATGGTGACAAACATTTCATCTGTGGAGGAGCAGTTGGCAAACTTGATGGAAGCAATCGCTGGCTTGACCAAGTGTATGCAAAATTAAGATGCTAGAATCGACAAGCTAACAGATAGGGTGGGAATCTTGATGGAATAAGAATCCACCCACGCACCTGGCAAGCTCCCAGAAGTTCCAGAGAGTGATTCTCCCCCAAGACAAGTAGCATCCACTAAGGCTATCCCTGTCTCATCTGACGGGATGATTCCAATCGATCAACTGAAGGAGTTCATTGAAGGAATCATTAAGAACAAGTATGAAGTTGTTGCTAAGTCCTCCCTTACATACGCAAAGCCGTACACTGCAAGGATCGATATGTTGAAAATGCATATTGGCTATCAACCTCCAAAGTTTCAACAGTTTGATGGTAAAGGCAATCCAAAGCAACATGTGGCGCACTTTGTTGAGATATGCAACAACACTGGGACTTATGAAGATTGTCTCGTCAAATAGTTTGTCCGCTCGCTAAAAGAAAATGCTTTTGATTAGTATACAGACCTCGAGGCGGGATCTATTGATAGTTGGGATCAACTAGAGCAAGAGTTCGTCAATCGCTTTTATAGCACAAGGCGCACTGTGAGCATGGTGGAACTCACAAATACTCGTCAACAGAAGGGTGAACCAGTTATATACTTTATCAATCGTTGGACGAATGCAAGCCTCAACTGTAAAGACATGCTTAGTGAAGCTTCTGGCATAGAGATGTGCATCCAAAGCATGCATTGGGGATTGCGCTACATCTTGCAAGGTTCAAGGAGTACAAGTTCAAATCAAAGTTCGTGCTAGTTGAATTCAAGATTATCGTTTGTGACAACAGATATAGGTTCAAGATCAAGCTCAAAGGCCCTTGAATTTATTTACTATTGAAAAGAAGAATCAGAGAGATCATAGAAATTGTGACACTCAAATATTTGAAATCAAATACTACGATTGTTACGATATTTTCGATCTTGACTTTATTTTCTCGACGCAATTTATTGTCCACGCCCACTATTCAATAGCCAATATGTCCTTTTCTCCAAATATTTAGTCCCTAGATCAATACAAGGATCTACTGAAAAAGGATGAAGATGTTACTAAGGAATTAGAAGTGGCCAAAGATGAAAGGGGTCAGGTATTATTAATTTCAATGCTGCAATTTGCACTTATGTTAATATAATTTCACCCTTATAATCCTGGAAGTCAGAATATAAATCAAGTGAAATTGTCACTCTACTTGGTGCGGCGCAGTAGCATGCTATGAGAAGGGAGGGTATTAGCCTATGGTGCGGTCCCTTCCCTCTTTCCCTTCGCTGGTGTAGTCTTCGTATGACCTATAGATCACGGGTTCAAGCCATGTAAGCAGTCATTAATGCTTGCATTAAGGTATGTTGTCTACGTTACACCCTTTATGGTGCGGTCTTTCCCTAAACCCTGCATGAGCACGAGATGCCTTGTGCACTAGGCTGTCTTTCTTTTTTTTAGGAAAGGAGCAAATGTTGACTACCATATCTTCCACACCTTTTTTCCGAAGGGATCGGGAGTTTTTTCAATTAAAGTGACATTAATCGAAAAGGAATTATTTATTCATATCAGAATCGCCACTTGGAATAATTTATGGTGTCCAAGTCACAAGTTTATTTTAAATCCCAAATCAAGAAAATTTGACTCTGTTTTAAAGTTTGTTAAACCAGAAGACCGGGTAAGGAATTTTGTTAACCCGGGAGAAGGTGTGAGGCACTCTCGAGTTCCGTGGTTTTAGCACGGTCGCTCAACTATTAATAATTGGCCTAATTATTTGATTTATTAACCGTTTTAAACCTATTGTGCATTTTAACTTTCTAACCGCTTTTAATAGAATTTTAATTGCTTTTAGGATTTATGGAATTTATTTAAATAAGTCACGATGTCGCGCACTTATTGTTTTTGTACACATTGCGAATCGCGTCACGTGAAACGCACCCGCGATTTACAACATGTTTATTATTATTATCATTTGAAGTTATGGTCAAGTCGCGTGAAACGCGCACTTGAGTTGGGATTTACGTATCATGACTATGCCACGGGAACCATACCCATAGTCACGATGATTTATTATTAATCGCGCCCAAAGTAAGTTACGATGTATGTGACTTATTTCCTAATCTAATTTGAGATTAACGCAAGGCCAAGAGTTTATGGAAATTAATAGTTTGTTAAATAAATAACTGATCATTATGAATAGTCAAAGAATTAGCACATTTGATTCAAACAATTGCTCGCACTAGTTCCATATACTGGTTCATTATCACGTTAGAGCCTACATATTTGGGCAATGTTTTAATTAGGCTAATGAGATGAAGCAGCACGGTATAAAATATCCATTCCCAAAAATTTCGACAAGTCTAGATGGGGCTGAATGGTTCATACTTTCACACAAGCAACAAAATATAATGTTGGACTATCAATCAATTCATTCAAACAAATTTCAATGGGTTAACTCTAAGGCCCAATGACTTAGAGTATCCAAGCTTGTTTAAACAATCTCAAAGGGGGATTTGCATCTATACCCAATTTTTGGGTCACATTTTAATCTATACCCGCTTTGCAAAAAAATAAATCGGGTAACTTCAGGCATATGAGCCTGAAGTAGCAAAAATTTATGTCTGAAGTTTGAACTTCAGAATGTTTTGCCTGAAGTGTAGCCTTATCAAAGTAAAATTTCAGATATTTTTGCCTGAAATTTGGCCTGACTTGCAAAGGCAATCGCGCAAACTTCAGTTCATAGTACAATGAAAAATTTCAGTTCAATAATTGCTAAACTTCAGCAATTTTGGCTGAAGTTTTTGTTTTGTAATTGCTGAACTTCAGCATTCTAAGAGCTGAAGTTTGTTTAGTATCTGCTGAACTTCAGCATTTTAGTAGCTGAAGTTTGTTTAGTATCTGCTGAACTTCAGCATTCTAAGAGCTGAAGTTTGTTTAGTATCTGCTGAACTTCAGCATTTTAGTAGCTGAAGTTTGTTTAGTATTTGCTGAACTTCAGCTCCTAGAGGATACACTTCAGTTCAATAATTACTGAACTTCAACAATTTTGGCTGAAATTTTTGTTTTGTAATTGTTGAATTTCAGCATTCTAGGAGCTAAAGTTTGTTTAGTATCGGCTGAACTTCAACATTTTAGGAGCTAAAGTTTGTTTAGTATTTGCTGAACTTCAGCTCCTAGAGGATGCACTTCAGTTCAATAATTGCTGAACTTCAACAATTTTGGCTGAAATTTTTGTTTTGCAATTGTTAAACTTCAGCATTTTAGGAGCTGAAGTTTGTTTAGTATTTGCTCAACTTCAGCTCCTATAGGATGCACTTCAGTGCTTGGGTCCTTTTGGGTAATATTCCAAGCAGTCAACTTGAACTTCCCGTCGTCCATCCTCATACCAGGAAGGAAGGTGTCAGTGGGTTCATTAAAACCAAGTTTCCTGAATCCAAGAGCTTCGCTTTATGTGAAGAATAATAATATGAATAATAATATCATCTAGAGGAAAGAATAATGTCACCCGAAGGAGGAGAAAGAGGCCTAAAGTTGTTTAAAAAGTGGGTACAAGTTAAAACTTTTTTAAAAAGTGGGTATAGGTTAAATGGGGGCGACCAAATAGGGCGCCCCGTGCAATTTTTACAACCTCAACTGGGCCACTTTATCAATCTGGCCCAAATTCACTTTGGCCACTTAATAACACAACCCACAAAATCAAATACCATATAGTACATTTACAATACAATTGCCATGAAACTTGACCCGAAAATAATACAAAACTGCATTGGAATTCAATTTACATATTCAAACTAAACTATGACTTATTCGATACAGCATGACCATTCTACACTAATAGCCAATTGCTTTACACTAATAATCAAAGCAGAGCTCAAAATTTCTATTCCATTTCTTCAAATTCCCTCAATGAGACACTTGTTCTATAACTTGTTCAAGTATACCTTTCCTTCTCAATCTGATTTTTAATTCACAATCACAAAGCATAAACCTGTTAATGTTGAACCACAGAACCTCTGAGTAATTCCAGAATCATATGAGCTCAGTTGATTTTAATGTCATGCTTTAAACTTAGTCAACTTTTAACATCAAGAGTTGCATAAGACAAGCTAAAAATCAGACTCATTATGAAACTAGATTTGTCATACGAATAACATGCTAGAACAGTTCGATCAAAGATAGACTAACCAAATAGTTGAATACAAACACAGAGAATAAGATATGAACACAGCAAGTCATTCAATTCTTCATTAACTCATTTAAAAGAGTTACAAAGAGAGTTTCAACATACCTAATAGCAGGAAAAGGAAAAGCAGCAGAACACAGCAGTAGAAACAGTAACAAGTTCAGCAATTAAACCAACAGCTCCACAATTTGCATACCACTCGAAATCCCAGCAAGATTGAAGCAAACTAGTAAAAAAATGGAAGGAAAAGCAACTTTGAATTCCTTTTTTTTTCTTTTGTTTTCTGTATCTAATTTTGAATCTCAAAGAAAAGAAATCAGTGTAAAATGAAGAAAGAAAGGAATGTCAAGCTTCTGCCGAGAATTAGTGTGTAAAACCAGTCTAAAAAATGAAGAAAAGAGTGTGAATTTCAGAGAGTGTTTTTGTGTCTGTCTATTCAGAATTCAGAGACCGTAAAATGAGAGGAGATGAGGTCTTTATATAGAGAGTGAGAATTTGGTTATGTGCACAGAAAAATCAGAGAATAATTCTGGAATGTCAGTCCCTAAAATTTAGGAAAAAACATCTTTTCTAACAGAAAATGGACAGCTGTTGTACAGCTGTCTATCCAGATATTCCCCATATTTTTTTTAACCATTTAACTCCTGAAATTAACCTTCTAGAAACAAAAGCTCTCAATTGAGCCTAGGCTAAGCGACCCTGCCCGGATTGGCCCAAACAAAGCGGGCTTGACTTCAACGAAAACCACACTGGAAACAAAAATCAAAAAGGTGCAACAATCATATCCTATTCCTAATTAAGGAATTAACTAAACATGTTTTCCAATTAAACTAACAGATTTATAAATTAATCTAAATATCATGCAATCAAAAAATTGAAATTCTATAACTAATCTGAAATTAAACCATTAGAGGAAAAGAAAGAAGAAGAGGAGAGAAGAGAAGAACTACCGGCACTGAAACGGGCACGTGAATGCTCTGACCGGCTATGGGTAAATCGACCGGATTCCAGCGACTTCGAAGTGACCCAAAATTAGTGTCAATCTATTGTTTTGGGTTGAAGAACAATCGATTAGCACAAACTTTTTGTCAATCAAGTCAAAAAATCCGAGAAAATCAAAAGGGAGGCGGATTAGGGTTTTCCGGCCTTCTTATATTTGAAATTGAAGAAGATTGGTGGGGATTTTGGGGAAATTGGTGATGGATTAGGGTTGAGGGGAAGATGGTGGTTATGGAGTGAAGATTTGGGGAGGTTTGGGGTGGTGCCGCCACCATAGGCGATTTCCGGCGGCGGCTGAAGGTGGCTGGTTAGAGAGATGAGAGAGATAAGGGAGATGGGGGAACTAAGGCGTCTCTAGGGTTTGGGGAGGGGTCTGTTTGGACAGATTTAAGGGAAAGGGATGGGGAGTTCGGGGTCGTTGGATTAAGTTTGATGAAGGGCTGGTATTAGCTTGACGCCGAAACGGCGTCGTTTGGTCTTGGGTGAGACTGGACCGGATCCATGTGGGTCTGGGCTGAGCGAATTTGAGCAATTTTTTGGGCCATTTGGCCCAGCAAGAATGCTTCCTTCAATTCTTGCCTTCACCTTGTTTTTTAAATGGCCACTCTTAATTAAATCCTATATCAAACCTAATTTACAAAATTAACCTATTCATTTGTTTTAATTCAAAATTAAGCTAATTACATATTGAATTAACTAATTGACTAATTAACTACAAATGTAAAAAGAAAAGAAGAATAGCTAAATGTAATTTGTGATTTTTATATTTTAACAATGCAATTAATGTGTGATTACATCCTAAACATGCAATTAAATCTAAAATGCACAAGTAAAAGATAAAAAAATATTTTTTGATGATATTTAGGATTTTTTAAAAAATATTTCTAAATATGCATGAATGCAACTAAATGCAAATAAATGCAAACAAACATCCTAAAAATTCTATAAAAATTAGAAAAAGTCTATTTTGTGGATTTTGTAGGAGTATTTTTTGTGAGGAAAAAATCATGCTCACAATATCATTATCCTTCTTTTTACGGTGTTTGTGTTGAAGTTTTTGTTTTTAAGATGAAATATTCTTAAAATGAGGGTGAATGGGAAATGGAGGAAAAATAAAATTTTGAGTAAAATTTTAAGTTTTCCCCTCTTGACAATGAGACATTGTCCCATATTGGAAGAGGAAGACATTTTTGGTGGGTATATATATATATAATTGCTCTTCTTGTAGCTCTTAAAGAGTTAAGAAGAAAGTAAGCCTCGCGCCGTCGTCGTCGTCGATCGCTCGGCTCGGCTTCGGCTACGGCTACGGCAATATTGGCGGGAATAACAATCTTAAGGAATTTAATATTAATTTCTGTATTTGTATTATTCTNCAGGCTTGCAAAAATATGAATATCTCTATACTCTGAGATCGTATTGACAAATGGTTTAATGAATTGGAAACTAAACTCATAGATCTTTAATTTGGTGGGCAGATAACCCGTAATTTCTTGTAAATTGGGAGAAAAGCTTAGAAACATTTGACCTAATGTTTAAGTAAAAGTATGAACCTAAGTTGCGACAACGTTTGTCGACTTTTGTTTCATAACTCGTTTGACTTCAAGACTTATGATACGGATATTATATGATTCAAATACCTTAATACATGACCTCTTGAGTGTATTAATAACCTCTAGGTTTACCTGAAAATATGAGTTACAACATTCTTGATTTGTTTAACTTCTAATACTTGTTAATCACCCTTATACACCCTTGTATCACTTAAGACCAATAGGATTAACTTCTTATCATCTCAAAGGTAATTCCTTCTTGGATTTATGTTAACTAATATATGGCATGAACTAACGTGTGTGGATATGGGTTGTAACACCCTTCCCCCCTTAGGAACATTCGTCCTCGAATGTAAGGGTTCATGGGGAGTTTAAATCATCGTGGATTCCGGCCAAGTTTCTCCCATAAATAGAGGACAAACTTGCAAGCGGTTAACTCAACGTATGGCCTTACAAGAGTATGCAAAGCATTATGGACATGTACATTATCTGCATATCGCCATTTTGTATTAAGGAAGAGTATTCTCAAGTTATTGCTTACCTAATAGAGCCATTTCACCTTCCAATGTATCATGTGTTCCACCAGCATCCTTGTTATCTTCATTCTGGATTAGGTACGGGTATTTAGACTTCATCTCCTCTTCTACTTCCCATGTTATTTCTTCCATTTTCTTGTTCCTCCATAATACTTTGATGGAAGCAACATCTTTTGTTCTCAGCTTGCGGACTTGTCGATCTAATATAGCCACTGGCACTTCATCATATGATAGGTCCTCT